AACATTTCTAGTCTATTATATAAAAACTGTGTGTTGACTTTGTCAAAGGCGTTCTTAATGTCGACCTTAGAGTAAAACTACTCGGGAGTACTATTAGAATTAAACCCATGCAATAGTTCATCACTAAATATAATAAGAAGATTTATATACACACCACTCAATTCATATGAATTTACTTATTTAAAACTTCAATCTTTACATACAATATCACCTTAACCATACATGAAAAGGTGTATTTCACCTTTTTAACGTTAAAATGGTGGTATTTTTCATATGTATGAAAGATCTGATTGGTATAAATGAAAAAAACAAAGTTAAGTGATAGGAATTGAATGATTATGTAAATGCCCTAAGCTAATATTGTTAACTATATCCCTTCCATGTGTGAAATGTAAATGCCCTAAACTAATATTGTTAACTATATCCCTTCCATGTGTGAAAACTGATTGAACCATATACTTGAGTTTGTGAAGCAGTAATGAGTTTGACATTTCCTTCATATAAAGTGTTACCTAAAGAAATAAACCTATAATCAATATTGTACTGACATTTTTCTAATCATTAATCCCACAGATTGCTGGTAAATTGTTGAACATCAAGTTGCATATACGGCGGTCACAGCGACTGGTGAAAGGATCAAGGAATCTATGCACTTGTGAATGCCGGCCTGTTAATTCTACTTCTGTTCCCTGACGAATAATTGTTATTATTACTATCATTTTCGTGGGTTTAATCGGCTGTTTTGGGGCCTTTGTCTTCTTAAAATATAACGTTGTTGATTGTGAAAAGCTGTTTTATATATATAAGTTTTTACTGCATTATTTGAATTAATGAACCTCTCCAACTATAAATGTAGCGCCTTTCTGAATAATCGTTCATTTTCGTTTGAAATGAGATTCATGATTGCTATGTATTAATGTATTGAATTGTGTGATGAAGACGTGCTACTGTCTTTATGATTTACGTAATAAATTGTCTTTACCAAAATATGTATCTCATGTTATGATTGTTGGAATGTCAGTATCGTTCCCCTGATATAGTGTTGGAGGACATTGTATCTATGTATGGTTTATATGTCAATCAATCAGAAGTCTTTAAGAGGGATATTTAGATCATTTTTTGTTTTATAAAGTTGAAAATATTCATAAGTAGTATTATTCTTCAAATATACAACACATTGGATATTATTTTGAGTGTTGTTGAAGATTATGTTTTTTATAAATAAAAGTATATAAATATATATATATATATATAATGAACAAATATCTTTGAAAACAAGAATGAATAGAAAGTGAAAGTGGTCTTGATCAGCTCTATAGTTTTTATTATTATTTATTTATTTATTTGGATCACTGAAATATTCTTTTTAAACCATCAGGTTACAAAAATATTCACAAAATGTGGATACCCACAGCGCAAAAATTGAAAGCATTACAAATGGTTTCGAATTTTCAATGCAAATGTAATGAATTCTTCACCACGACAATGCTAAAACTAGGGGTGAGAACGAACCGAACACGAAGGAACAGAGCTTGTGTTCGTGTTCGGTTCGTTTGAAATAAACTCGTGTTCGAAATTGTTCGTGAAGTCACTGTTCACATTCGCTTATTAACGAACAAGCCAAATACGAGCTGTTCACGAACTAAGAGCCAATTTGACATCCCTAATATTAATATATATAAATAATATATTATATTAATTATATAACTTATATTATATAAATATATAATATATATATTAATATATTACTAATATAGTATATTAATATATTATTATTGTTATTAATTTATTATATATTAAAATTTATAAAATTTAATTTTTTAAAATATTATAAATTTTTTATATTTAATTATTTTAAATTATTTTATATTTTGAGCAAAAACGATTCGAACACGAACGAACGCATCACTGTTCGTGGTTGGTTCGTTTGACTAAACCAAAGAAAAAAATTTTTTCATGTTTGTCT